CAGGATGACGCCGCACTGCCTGCTGGTGCGTCCGGTCCGTCCGTTGCTCCGCCTCCTGCAGCTCCTTCACATGCGGCTGAGCGGCCAGGGGAACCAGGAGCGGGGCCACTTACGTCACTCACTGACGTAGGACGTAGTGTCACTGAGACTGCACAGGTTAGCACCACTGCGGCCGGCGGGGACTCGTCCTTCAGATGCCGCCCGCAGCGGCAGCCCACACTGGTATCGATCGGGCCACTGTCACTGTCAATTTTCCGCCCTGTTCCCTGGCGCCGTAAGGCAAGTGCCCATGTTGCCTTGCGCTAGCGCCGGCCCTGAACAGAGGTCTTCTGAGTGAAGAACATGATCCTGTCTATAGCATCCGGTGTAAACTGAAGTCTCCTTCCCATTGGGTAATGTACGAGAGAGAGAGGCCAACGGATGGGGAGTTTAGTAAGTGGTACACCACACAGCATGTCTAAATGTACTTGTTTTGACAATAGCTATCCTCGAACACTGTCAAAGGGCGAGAAATCCCCCCGCTGGAGGCAATGACTGCAGAAAATGGGACAATTGCTCCAAAATCCTAGTATCACGTACCTGAATGGAGACCCAACGGAGAAGGGTCACCCTAGATGACATCTATATATCATTACAATAGGCTCAACCCAAAAACCTAACACACCCCACGATATGGATCTTTATTCACCGTTACTTTATTACTGATTATAATTTTAATTGGAGTTCAATGAGATCAGAAAATGAAAGTCACATGACTAAAATAAAAATCCTTATACTTGTATTGAAGCTTTGTAAAATAAGCCCACTAGGTGGTATTTCAAGTCTAAGTTTTTTTTCTCAAACAGTTTCTTATTTAGTTTCACTTTTATTAATATTAAAAAAAATATATATCACATTGTTGTTTTTCATTATATTTCTTTATTGTCTGGATTTGATGTGAGGTATAATCTGTGTGTAGTCATGGATGTAACGTAATAGAGCAATAGACCACAAGGCAGCGAGCACAATGATGAAACATAACGTAAACTGAAGTATTTATATTCAACACAAGGTGGTGATCTCACTTGGAATACAACTACAGGAAGTGATGTAGGAGATATGATGTAAGGTACAGACAGGAAGTGATGTAGGGTGATGAACAGGAAGTAATGTAAGAGTGAGGTGGAAAGTGATTTGGGAGAAAGCAAAGAGGAGACATTGCTTAAATCAGCTGCAGAGGAGGTAATAAGATATTATTTTATATTTACACCCGGTAATCTCCTTCATACCCACCATCTTCCTCAAAGTTCACTGTGAGGTCTGTTATGATTTATAGCATACATGCACGTAAGTATAGAGCCCTTTATCCAACTGTCCATCCACAGCCTCCATTTATAGACCGGATACATCCTAAATATAGAGCCATTTATCCAACTGTCCATCCAGAGCCGCCATTTATAGACCGGATACATCCTAAATATAGAGCCATTTATCCAACTGTCCAGAGAGGAACCCACCAGAGAGATGTGTCCGTCCTCTGTATTCCCGGGATTCCACACAGGAAGATCTCACCATCCCTCATAAGGTGAAACAGAGAAATAATAGGGGATACATTTTGACCTCTTCATTATCTATGTAGTTACATCTGATCTCATTGTTCTCAATATTCAGGGTATAAACCAGAGTGAGTGTGATAATGATGTTAAAGACGAGGTAAAAGAGGAGGAGGAGGAGGTTGGTGTGATGGAGGAGTTTTCAGAAGGACACAAATGCTCCGTTAAGGATATCATCATGGAACCATTCAGTGACACAAATCCACCAGAGAGATGTCCCCGTCCTCTGTATTTCCGGGATTCCACACAGGAAGATCTCACCATCCCCCACCATGATCAGGTAGGTGGGACTCGGTGTATAGAACACAGAAGTGATAGTGAACTTTGTGAGACAACATTCTTCTATGTAATCTGTTGGTTTAATGTTTACATCTGAAATGTAGCCTCCCACCCATTCCACCCTCTCCATTTCAGCTTCCCCGTGCTCCACCCTCCACTTTTATTAAAAAGTATAAACAAAATTTCTTCCATGGGTCTTGGGTCCAGTCATGTGACATAATAGATAGGCTCCGTGCTTGTGCCCTCCAAAGGCCACGAGCTGAAATATGTGGTGCTGTTCTTTGCTTCTGTGAGTCCATGCTGGTGTGATGATGCACCCTCAGGGTGAGGGTCCTTGGCTCCCGGGCTCAGAGGAAATAGGAAGGAGACCTGCCCTCAAATGGGCAGAGCAGGAGACCTGATATTTCTCTGCTGTAGGTCAGTAACATGTACAGGTCTTGTCCCTCCCCCAGTCTTTGACTTGACAGGAAAATGAGAAGCAGCAGACTGTTCCTCTCTCTCTCCCAGTCTAAGCTTTGCTGTACAGGGACTGCAGGAACCTGATACCAGGTCACAATTAGGTACTAACAATGTTTACTTTAAAAAACAAAGACAGAGCTGCATTCCTTTGTGTCTTTTATATCTCCCCGGAGTTCAGCTTTATGAGATGTTTTCTATTATTTTGGGGTTTAGGGTGAAGAACGGAACAATATAAAAGCTGAGGTTAAAGAGGAAGAAGTGGAGACGTATGTGGGGGGTGACCGGCCGTCCACGGAGGAGGTCGGGATGATGATGAAAAGTGATCAGGATGACATTTCTCTACCGATCAACACAAGTAAGTAACAGACACTATGGAGGGAACAGGTCACAGTTCTATGTCACTTCTGAGTAGAAGGTGTGACGTTTAAGGGATCATGTTGGAGAATTATCAGATCTTCTCATCATCAGATAAGATGAGACTGAATTATAAATGGTGGACCATCAAAGTTGGGAAGGAGATTCACCAGAAGAAGTAATCTCCCCTATTGTAGGATTTATAGCAAATAAACTCTCATCAAATGTTTTACATACAGATGTTGGGTCCATTGTCATGGAGGAATGATGGTTCTGAGATCATCGTCAATATAGCCTCTGTCCATCTCCATTCCTCAATATAACGTCATGTGACCAACAAATGAGGAGGAGATACTGTACACCATATGAAGGTCCATCTCTCTTATTCTCCATAGCCGTGATCAATTCACAAAACTATTTTGCCCAGTGTGTCAGAGTTTTGGGTGTTTTATCTCATTTGTTTTTACATGTCGTAACGTTGTACCCAATTCCATGCCAGAGCTCTGTGATGACTTCTAGACCAACATACATGACTCTGATTACTGACGTGTGTAATAATTTCTCTCCAGCAGATGGATGTGATGTCAGGAATACCTCGGAGAGACATCTTATATTATCTGCCGATTGTAAGTCAGAAGATAATGTCATCACACAGGATTCTCCAGGAGTGAATCCAAACACACAAAATATACATCACAGACCTCACTGCTCAGAGACATCAATGGATCCCTCTGATCAGGGTGAATCTTCTGATCATTCACATACTATGACTGGAAATATCCATCTAAGATCTCACACTGCAAGAGATCCATCTAATCCCAAGGAATCTTCCTCACCCCATGAAGGAGATCACAGAGGTGAAAATCTTTTCTCACATGCAGTGTGTGGGAAATCTTTAATTGAAAACAAAAACCTTCATAGACCCCAAAGTATTAACATGGATGAGCGACCCTATTCATGTCCAGCGTGTGGAAAATGTTTCATTCGCAAAGGACACCTTGTTATACATCAAAGAATTCATATGGGTGAGCGTCCTTATTCATGTTCAGAGTGCGGGAAATCTTTCACTCAGAAAGGAGTCCTTGTTAAACACCAGAGAATTCACACTGATGAGCGTCCTTATTCATGTTCAGAGTGCGGGAAATCTTTCACTCAGAAAGGAGACCTTGTTAAACACCAGAGAATTCACACTGGTGAGCGTCCTTATTCATGTTCAGAGTGCGGGAAATCATTCATTAATAAAGAAGCCCTTGTTATACACCAGAGAATTCACACTGGTGAGCGTCCTTATTCATGTTCAGAGTGCGGCAAATCATTCATTAGCAAAGGAGGCCTTGTTATACACCAGAGAATTCACACTGATGAGCGTCCTTATTCATGTTCAGAGTGCGGGAAATCATACATTAAGAAAGAAGCCCTTGTTATACACCAGAGAATTCACACTGATGAGCGTCCTTATTCATGTTCAGAGTGCGGGAAATCATTCAATTATCAAGGAGTCCTTGTTAAACACCAGAGAATTCACACTGATGAGCGTCCTTATTCATGTTCAGAGTGCGGGAAATCATTCATTAAGAAAGAAGCCCTTGTTATACACCAGAGAATTCACACAGGTGAGCGTCCTTATTCATGTTCAGAGTGCGGGAAATCTTTCATTAAGAAAGGAGACCTTGTTAAGACATCAGAGAAGTCACACGGGTGAGCGTCCTTGTTCATGTTCAGACTACAGCAAATCTTTCACCGAGAAACATACTGCGGAGCGTCCTCACTGACTGTGGGTAAAGAAATCTTAATAGACAGCGCCAGCTGGTTCTTATGACAAATATACGATGGCTTTTCACAGTTGGAACTGTTTAGTGCATAGAAAAATTGTAAGATAGTCCATAGAACAACTGTAGGGTATAAAAGAAAAAGGGTGGTCATCAGGAAGAAGGATTCTCCTTACCTCGATGGTAATCATTTTATAACATTGTCATAATGTCATTGTCATGTGTCACATGCATTGTGATGGGTCTTTAAATTTTGTATGTCTTCCATCTGTCCCCGTTATTCCTCTCCTCCGCTCCCCATAGCTCAGTGTTCCTCTGTATAGATAGCTCCTCCCTTCCTCATTCTGGTCCAGTTTACATCTCAGCCACGTGTCATTTCGTTGAGTGGATCACATTATGATCTTTTGACCTCTCCGATGTTCCCTGTTGTAAGATCCTCACAGTTTTGGTTTATACTTCTCAGAGATCTTCAAGGTGTCCTCTGGATGGAGTCACTGTCTGCCAACGCAGCTAAGATTGTTGGTTGTCGCTATCTCGCCACAACTGTAAGTTATAGAGATCACACTTTCAATGCTTAGATTGGAGCGGCAGAACAGTCTAGTAACTTGACAGGTGACAGAGGCGTGATGTTTCGCTGACACCCATAGAAGGCTATTGATCTAATTTGGGGAACACAAATATGCCTGAACAGGTACCCAGAGGGGCATCCACTGAGCAGGGTGTCAAAGAGATATTTGGGCAAGCTGCGCTTCATGATAGTAATTGTGAAAGAGTGGGAGGCTAAGGTCACCTTGAATTTTTGACAGAATGCAGACCAGAAGGACACGGGTAAAATTTTGGCAACAGACTTTGGCAACAAATTTTTACCCCTGGTGTCCTGCTAAGACAAGTTTCCCAAATTCTTCCCAAGAAGAGAGGAGCAAATAAAGGTGCTGAAAAAGCGACATATATTTTGCCAGATACAGATTGTGGTAAGAGGGAGTTACAGAGACACCCAGGTAAGGCAAGGATTTGTATGCCCAGCTAGATGCAAAAGAGTTGTGAAGGGACTCCATCATTGGTGGGGTTAAAGAAATTCCCGTAGGCTGCAACTTGGAGATATGACAAATTTTGTATTATGACCCCGCCTCCAATTCAGATATTTTGATTGAATGGCTTTAGCCAAAGAATCAGAATGTAGTGTGGATGGTGGAGGAGAGCTGTCAGAATGTAGTGTGGATCGTGGGAGGTTAGCTGTCAGAAAATGTAGTGTGGATGATGGGGAGAGCTGTCAGAGAATGTAGTGTGGATGGTGGAGGAGAGCTGTCAGGGAATGTAGTGTGGAGGAGAGCTGTCAGAGAATGTAGTGATGACAAATTTTGTATTATGACCCCGCCTCCAATTCAGATATTTTGATTGAATGGCTTTAGCCAAAGAATCAGAATGTAGTGTGGATGGTGGAGGAGAGCTGTCAGAATGTAGTGTGGATCGTGGGAGGTTAGCTGTCAGAAAATGTAGTGTGGATGATGGGGAGAGCTGTCAGAGAATGTAGTGTGGATGGTGGAGGAGAGAGCTTAGCATATTGTTTGGATAGGGGAAGGGGTTCCCAGAGAATGTAGTACAGACATTGTGGAAAGAGGTAGAATACAGGGGTGCAAAGAGTGTTTAGTGATGAGGACACTGCTAAGAGAATAATGTGTGTTGGGGATGGGGACACTGAGGTTATTAGAATGTCTCTACCAGGGTGTGGGTATTACTGAGTTAATAATGTGTTTTTGGAGACTTTTCATCATTGCAGTATAAAGCTCCGGAATGGACTGGATCTGATAAGATAATTCATTCCCGGTGATAGGATTCTCCAGAAGTGAAAGTGAAAGTTACAATCTGTGTTAGAGATGTCAAGTTCATGAACGAATCGTTCTTTTGAATCTATTCACTGAACTGGTGGAGTCGATTCAGCTGAGTGAGCTGATCCGTTTGCAGCAGCTCCGTGTGACGTGTGTGACGTATGGCGGAGACTCTAGCTGGCTGGCTTGTAATATGACCCTAGAGTGACAGCCAAGCTTCTGCCAGCCCCTCCCAGCAACCAATCACATCCGAGACACAGTACACAGAGTCTAATCATATGAGTCGGCTGAGTCTAAGAATCGAAAGAATCTACTAGTTAAAATAATCGAATGAGTTTACTTAGTTAGTAGACTCATTTGATTCTTTGGGGTTGATTTACTAAAGGCAAATAGACTGTTCACTTGGCAAGTCAGTTTTTCCTTTAGCTTAGTAGAATGTGATAAAAATTCACATTACAAAGAATACCCAATCATATGCAAGGAAAATATTTTTTTGCTTGCACTTCATTGGATGATGGCAGTCAGCAGAGCTTCACCTCATTCACTAAGCTAAGGGAAAATTACCTTGCAAAATGAGCAGCCTTTAGTAAATCAACCCCTTTAAATCAGTAAACTCTTTTCGATTCTTTGAGTTAAAGAGTCTCCACCAGTAAAACAATACAAGGAATCAATTAGCAGGTTGCAGCAGTGATAAGGGACCGAGAGAGTTCAGATTAGAGGAGATCCTCATTCAGATTGATGGTTTAACCCTTTAGGATCAAATTGGCTTCTCAAGGAGAATATATACACACATATATATATATACCCCTCCAGTCCTGAGTTTTTCACCCCCCCGCATACTTGGATTTGTTTAGTTCCGACAACCATGACCTCTACAGTGGGGCAGATAATTACACATTTACAAAAAAAATAAAAACATACATTTTTTTAAATAAACAATTTTTGGTTTTAGTTTTTATTTATTTTATTCTTTTTCACTTAAATGTATTGATAGCGTTAGGATAAATGTACCCCAGGAGCTGCCTGACACCCTTCTGTGAATCAGAGTCCTCTTCTATGAAGGTTCAGACAGCTCCTGAGCTTCAGTTCACTGGCTTGTGAGCCGACTCAGCCAGTGAACCGAAGATTCGATTCATGAATCGGTTCTTTTGAATGAACTGATCCAAATGAACCGATTCATTTGAAAGATCCGAATTTCCCATCTCTAATCTGTGGTAGAAATCTGTGCTGTGAGCGGCTGGTCAGGGCTGATCGCTCAGATCTGGGCTCTACTCTATGTACTGATCACTTACAGGAAATGTGGCAGAATCTCCAGTGAGAAGAGGAAGTTTCTATTTTGATGAAGATAGATGATCCATGGAATAGAGTCACCATACAAGAATGAATTACAGTCATGTCTAATGTGTACATTTACTAGGAAGGGGTGTGACCGATATGAAATAAATGAGTCCGGTGTATATAAAAAATCACTCTATAATATTATCAAAATGTCAGATATCTGTATACAGTAATGTTTGTACATTATAATTTGGTGCATTAAATCAGTTTGCTTTTCATTCTTTAGTTTTGACATCCGGAGTCAATCAATTTCTTGTACTGAATGAATTAGAGAAGCTAACAAAATTTACATCAACTGCCAGTGTGCTGGAAGATCTCAGAGGATGAGTGACGGACAGCAATAGCCCATGCGTCGTCCGTCCCTTCCCACGTCCCTGTACCCCCTCGGTGCCCCTCCCCGGCCCGCTGTCCGTGACAATTGGTGGCAGCAGTGGGATTGTTAATCACCATTTCCTGGTCTAGACAGATATTGATTTTTCAACCCTCTTACCACTGAAATAAGTCACGTGCTCGCATGGGTAGGGCGCGTATGTGACAGTGACCGCAGAGCTCAAAGGCCGGTAGTGGTGTCACATGCAGACAGGAAGAGGTATCACATGTAAGGAGGAAGTTCCAAGTTGTGAGGAAGTAAATAGTGTGACGTACGCCTGGCCCTCTGTACGTCAATCACACTTGACTGTATGCAGTTCTGACCCGAACGTGGCGTTACAAGGACGTTGTGATACCACTCTCAGCCTCACCCTGCACAGATAATTACCAGCTCACGGGACAACAATCTCTGGCCAGCAGAGTGAGAGCGATCATCACCAGGGTTTGTTAACTCCGCATTTGACCCTTTACACACCAAACGTTCACTGGCACCACGTACTTTAACGGAAGTACGCACCGCAAGTCCTGCAACAGTTCAAAAAAAACGTAAACAAAGCCTACGATGCCACAGTCCTCTCATAGAGGAATAGGACCGATCACTGTACCGTACAGTCTATGATATCGCTTTCCTCTCATAGAGGAATAGGACCGATCACTATACAGTA